CATGGCTGCTGTTGGCAGTTGCTCCTCTCTGTCTAATAATATTGAATGAATTACGTAGGAGGTCCTGACTCTTGGCCTTAAATCCACATTCCCCGCACTGTGTTGTTGATGACAGTAAATACGTTACAACTCGCAATATTTTAAATTATGCTAGCAAACGAGTAATCTTCAAAAAATCGCAGTTTTTACTTCTAACATCACAAATGTAAACTGAAGTCATTAAACTGTTCACTTTATCACTTTCTTTTCGAACCCTGCGAAATATAGCCGTTCAAAAGTGGCAACATTTCGTTGACAATGAGTTGCCCAGTTTCGCGATCGAGATATTGCAGGATTTCAGGTTGCGCTGGTTTTCCGGTAGGCAAGTCCAGTCTTGAAAGTACATAAGGGGCTTTTGGTTGCCCAGTGGCGCGATTGATGTTGAAAAGAAGGAAGGGTGGCGTCGGCACGCCAGTTGTTTCATCGATACGAGAGAGCAAATAAGTCGGTTGCTCTGGTCCGTTTGAATATTCATTGAGAACATTGAGCAGTGCTTTCAGGGTTGGCTGCGCAACGCCTGTGTTGAGATACGTCAGGAGATACGGTTGTACGGGTGTGCCGGCCGTGTAATTGACACGGAAAATCATATTTGGGCTGATGATGGCGCCTGTCACCGGGTCAATTCTTGTGAAAATATAAATTGGCTGCCGACGGTTGCTATTAAGATTTTCGAAAATTGAGGTAGGAATTGGCTCCAGGGGAAAATTTGTCCCCGATCCACTAGAACCAACGATTATTGGTCGATTTTGCGAGCTACTTACAGGTCCAAATATATTACTACTGCTTACTGACTGTCCACCTCGTTGTAATGGTACGAAGCCGGCGTTGCTACTCACGGGTACCGGGAAGCCCTGGTTATGAAGGGGTTTAGAAGGCATTCCGGAGCTCTCGACTGCAGACTGTGCGGGATCAGCAATGATCCCGCCGGAAGATGGATTTAGAGTAGCTGTTGACCTTTGCTGTTTGATCTTTTGTAGAGCTGAAATTAAATTCTGCCATCCGAACTGACCGGAGGAAGAGGTCA